AGACAAGACAACTAAGCAGTGTAAGACTGTAAGTGAATGTATGTGAATTGCAAATCAATGTATTAGTGTATTGACTTTCACAATAACATGTGTAAGTAAATAAGTTTTTATTTTGATTTGAAATAAATTATAAGTTTGTAACTAATATAACTTATCACTAATCATTGTAATTTGTAAGTTTGTAACTAATATTACTTATTATTAATCAGTGTAAATTATAAATTCATTGTAACTACTAACTAATATTGCTTATAATTAATCATTGTAAATTATAAATTCATAAATTATCACCAATCATTGTATAGTCTAAGGTTTATTCTAGTTTAAATTAATCACTTTTTATGTGTTTCTTAAATCATAGACTAAGGATTCTAGGTATAAGTGATCAAATAAATGCCAATTAAACCACAAAATGATTAGAACATAAGTAATGTGTTCAATTATGAATAAATTTAGGGATCAAATCAGTAATAATTTATAAATCATAGATGAATTCGGTTAAACCGAATTCATTACCGTTTTCGAATTTGAAATCGGTTGCGGAATGAATTCGGTTATGCCCAATTCGAAATTGAAAACGGTTTAAATTTTTACAGGTAGAATAACCGAATTCACCGAATTCAGTGCACCGAATTACCGAATTTGCACCGAATGCACACCCCTACTTCTTCGTACAACAAATATAGCACCAATATACAAAGCTAAGACCATATATGATTTTAGACTTACAAATCACTTCTTCTGTAGTTGGCGCATATATCACCAACCTTTGGATTTGATACGTTGATTCTTAACTGAACATCAGCAGCAATTGATTTGATTTGTACCTGTGAACACGAAGATCATGCTATAGGCAGTGGTTGCCATACGTGGCTTTGCTAACCGCTTTAACGTTTACTTACAGCCGTACAGGGCATGCCCATCTGTAGACTCCGTGTGAACGATCTCAAGCATCAGTTTTTTATTTATATTTTGCAGAAAAGATTTATTGATCAATGATGACTCTGGGTTGTGGTTTTGTAGAAAATTTTTTATATTTTTTATAAATATATTTTTTAATTACTTTTTTATTTCATATATATCAAATCGTTACACTATATTTTTTTATAAAATCTTCTTAAAATAGCAATCCAGACGAGCCCCATTCAAGATCATGCCACTGCCCGTTCTCATCAGATTGTCAAACCATAGTGCGAAATTTGCCAAAATCGGAAATTGTGTGACAGACTGACAGTCCCATTTTTTCGAAAAAAAGAAAAACTTTTTTCTGACTAGGGAAGGATGGGATTTGATAAATTGGGAGGAGGATTTGAACTCGAAAGATCTCTGAATCTTGGAGTTTCAACCTTAGTGATGGGTGCAATTGAAAGTATGGAAAAAGCTAAGGATTGCAAATTGATTTTCCAAGAAGACAAAGTGCTACTTGATGAATAATATTGCCTTCTAGCCATAACATCAGTCTATAGTTTTCAAAATTAATAATGGGGGTCCAAAATTAATAATGTAGAATTTTCAGGAAAGATTTTAATCATCCAGATGAGAGAATTCCTAGCCCCTTGGCAATGCGGAACGAATTATTTGCTTGCTTCTTTCGAGAACAGACAGCAATCTTTTGGTTGATCTGGTATCGTAATCTGGAACTTTTATGCACGGCCCACCAAATGCTTCATGACCTGAAATTCAAAAGTGAAGGGATAAGGAGAATTTAAAAAAAGAAATCAATCGACTGTAGCCCATTTTTTTCTTTTTTTTTTGAACAAAATTATTTTTACTCTCATTTTTGTTAATTACGCTCCTATTATAAAAAAAAATAGAGTGCAAATAATATTTCCTTTTTTTTTAACAAAATGATTGGTGTTGTCCGAACTGTACGTAATACGCATGCAGTGCAGAGCGGAAGGCCTGTGATACAAGAAAATGTAGGAAATCATGAGACAAATGATTATGGTACAATGATCAAAATTTCCATCAACAAAAAAAATGATTTTAATCATCCAAATGAGAGAATTCCTAGCCCCTTGGGCGATGCAAGCAAGGGGCAGTGCAGGACGAATTATTTCCTTGCTTCTTTTGAGAACAGACAGCAATGGTGTCATATTCTGGATCTTTTCCGCACGGTCCACCAATTGTTTTTTTTTTTTTTCTCGAAACGGAATGAAACACACACAAATAATGAGAGACAAGCAGAAAGTATCAGTAAACCGGTCTGAAAGCAATCTAAGGAGAACCCACAAGAAACACTCATCCAACCAATTGGTAACAGGAATTGCTACAGGTCCACCAATTGCTATGTGACCTGAAATTTCAAAAGTAGAAAGTGTAGGGATAAAGAGAATTAAAGAAAGAAATCAATCGACTAGCCCTTTTTCTTCTTGTTTTAACTTCCTCTTTATATATATATATATATATATATATATATATAAAGAAAATGATTGGTGTTCTGCGAACCGTACATAGTAAAATAGAGCAAAGGCCTTGTCATTTATCCTTAGCATTAATTGATTATAGTACAATGATCAAAATTTTCCAGCTAAGGTATTATTAGGTTCATGCGGGGCCTTGGGAGGGATTACCTTTTCTGCATGGAACTGAATTCTATAAATGTCTGGGACACTGGATTTGCGTTTAAGATTTAAAAAAAAAAAGTAGATGAACCTGTGAAGTTGGGCAAGTGGTAGATGTTATTCCTATGCAAAGGTAGCAGCAAACATAAATCCGGTAATTATTCATGAGGCAGTTAGTTTACCAATAAGACATTTCTGAACCAAGCATTGCGATTCCCATCAGCATCTCTAACCAATTAAAGCTTTAGCTTGCAGAATCATCACGCACTATAAATCTACCAACAAATTCTCTTCGTTTTGGTCATCATAAAGCCAAGTTTTTGGGGTCATCTTTCTTCAGTATACAACTCCTTCACGAAATGCATGCACTCCCATATGATATCATTCGCTTCTTTTATTGACTTGCTTCTCATTTTTTCAAGTTAGAGATCCCGGTCACCAAAATCCCACTAGTGTCTTGCAATCACCATTCTTTCCATGGCATCGAAACTAGAAGAAAACACAGCAGACAAACTTCATCTTGAGCCTTGTTCACCTTCAAGTCCCAAAGAAAGATGGTCTGGGAACATGGTATCTTTGATCCTTTCGGAGTTAAAAGTGCAACGAGGTATAACAGTTCCAATGTTGGCAATGAATTTTACATGGTTTGCAAGGATTGCCGTCACAACTGCATTTCTTGGACGGCTTGGTGAGCTTTCCTTGGCTGGTGGTACACTTGGTGCCACCTTTTCTAATGTGACCGGTTTCGCAGTCTTAAACGGGCTCTGTTGTGCCATGGAACCCATATGTGGTCAGGCCTTTGGAGCTAAGAACTTTAAGCTTCTTCACAAGACCCTTGTCATGGCAATCATTGTACTGTTGGTGGCAAGCGTACCCATTTCTATCTTGTGGCTTTACGTTGACAAGATCCTCATTCAGTTTGGCCAGCAAGAAGAAATTTCGGTTGCCGTGAGGAAATACCTACTGTATCTCCTTCCTGATTTAGTTGTCTATTCATTCTTGAGCCCTTTGAAATCCTACCTAAGCACACAAAGTCTAGCTGTTCCTATAATGTTGAGCTCAGCTTTTGGATTAGGCTTTCATGTGCCCATCACCATGTTACTCTCAAGAGCAAGGGGCTTCGAAGGAGTGTCCATGGCAGTTTGGATGAGTGATCTTGTAGTAGTCGTTCTACTCGCCTTCTATGTTTTGATAGCAGAACATGGAAAGCGAGGGAACTGGAATGGAGGAGGCTGGTGGGAGCAAGGAATTCATGACTGGAAGAGGTTGCTAAAACTTTGTGGTCCTTGTTGCATCACCACTTGCCTTGAATGGTGGTGCTACGAGATCTTAATGCTGCTAACCGGAAGGCTTCCAAATGCCAAACAAGCAATTGGAATCCTAGCAATTGTAATGAATTTTGACTACTTACTTTATTCAGTGATGATTTCACTATCGACCTCTGCATCTGTTCGCATCTCAAATGAGCTTGGAGCAAACCAGGTTGGCCCTGCTTATCGATCAGCATACATATCTGTAGGCATTAGTGTAATCTCAGGCATTATTGGAGCGTCTGTAATGGTATCAGCAAGAGACAGCTGGGGCGGTTTATTTAGCCACGAAAAAGGAATCACGAGCAATGTGAAAAAGATGCTGTTGATAATGGCTGTAACAGAAGTTTTTAACTTTCCATTGGTAGTTTGTGGAGGAATAGTACGAGGAACGGCTAGACCAAAATTGGCCATGTATGCCAATATCACGGGTTTCTATTTGTTTGCCTTACCCGTTGGAGCTGTTTTGGCTTTCAAGATCCATCTTGGCCTTCCTGGGATATTGATAGGCTTCTTAAGTGGATGCATTGTTTGCTTGGTTCTGTTGGTGGTTTTTATAGCACGGATCGACTGGAAGGATGAAGCAAGGAAGGCAAGATCGCTGACTTCATCCCCTGTGGAGGAGGAGATCAAGGATCACGAAGACCACAAGAATTCTGGAGTAAATAATGTTGCATTATGAGAAAGCACAAACAGGATTCCAGGAACAATTTCTCTTAATGCCTAACCATTCTGCTGCACAAAGCTTGCCCAAAGAAAATGGTTACTCTGATCACTCTATCGATTTACTCTCCGGGATAGCTAATCTCTATTTATTACAGTGCTTGCACAACAAGAGAAGCCAGCAAAACAGACGATCAGATCAAACTCCGCCGAATCAAATCAAAGTTGAGTTAGTCTCACAAGTAAAAGCATGCATCCAAAGGCCAAAAGCTTTGGAGGCTAAAGCATTAGATTCAGTTGCTCAACCTTGCAAATACATGCTCCACCTGTCCATCAGCACGTAGATATTGTGGAATCAGTATTATTCTTCTCTTCCCAAAACCCAAGCCCCTCATATCCACCTTCTGTTTCTCCCTCTTACAAAAATAAAAAGGCAAAACACGGGAATATTGTCATCAAGTACTGGAATCAACTTGTCCTCTAAAAATGTGTAACCATTTCTTTGATAATCGCATGAAATAATTCATTCATGTAGTTTTCAGGCCTAAAAATGATATCAATTGCAACAATTAAATCCAAAAGCTATTAATCGTCTATAAATCCAGGTTCAGAAATTACAGATTTCAGCTCTTGAGCTTTCTCATCATTAAAGCCAAAAGCAGCCAATATCTTGTGCCCTGGTGATTCGTCTTGTGACCACACTCCAAGTAGCAAGTGAGCAGTTGTAACTTCCCGATCGTCACCTGCATTCACATGCATGTTCCCTGAGAGTATAGAAAAGCATAGACATTCCATTTTCTGCAGGCAATAAAGGCAACTTTAGAAACACAAAAAAGGCATCTCACATCATGTACTTCTTTCCAGTACACAAAAACAAACCTACACCATCCATTGTTTAATTCTTTTGCTGATAAAAAACGCATGTCATGGAAAACTAGGGCCGACGAGCCATGACATCTAGGAGTACAAAAAAATAAAAGAGCTTTTACTGGCTCTAGGACAACCACCTCAAGCTTCCAATGCCCATTATAATCTTGATCTAGTGCATTCCTACTGACTGTTGTTGCCCTTCCAATCAATATTCCAAGTGTTCATGTTATACAAGTGTCTCGCTTGAATTGTAGCAGGAAGATTCAAGCTAACAGCCAAAACTTGCCAGCATGAAAACAAATTACGAGCCAACAAGACAAGATAAAAATGATCAGCAAATTGCTTCACACATATCCACAGGATAAGGTCTAGCAGAAGTTTCAGTTTCAAGGTAAAATCTGAGTATTCGACTCAAAGAATGTTGGAGCACCAAGTTTCTTTAGTTGGTTAGCTTCAAGATCTATACAGATATTGAATTTCTAATAAGGTGAAAAAATAACTTGAAGGGACAGTAATCAGTGAGCAGAGATTCACTCATTTATTGGGGAATCATTTCTTTATCAACAAAACTAGAATCGAAAATCTTTTCTAGGCAGCAGAAGATACAAATAAAAGTGATTCTTCTCCTTCTACTTTCGTCTATATTAAGGCCTTAAAGCTAAGAGCTTTACGTTCATACATTTGTTAATATAATATTTCCCCAGTTCCACATCTTCTAACACCTTTTGATATTAAAGATAGCTATCCTCCCTTTGCTTCCTGAGTTTCTTTGTTCGTTAATACTAAGTTTTGATGTGCAATTAAAGAACTCAACCTATTTCTATCTGGAAAAATTTGTTAACCATTTATTTGTTATAACCATGTTCTCTAAATTTGTCCAATAATTAACCGTTTGAGTGTTGAGGTGTCCTTTTCTTTGGCCGCCAGGCATCTGAATATTCCCCAGGTCATGCTGTACACATTATTCAGCTGATAATTTACCCCATTTTAGTTGCCCACGATTCTTTCATTTGCTATTGATTCAGCTCTCAGATAGATCCACGACTAAAAAGCAGTCACCAAAAAGTTCCGTCCTTTCAGCTTATGTTTCAAAAACTGTTTTCCTATTCTATCTTTTCCAGTTCTGCCACGATCACCAGTTTGCTGCACTTGTTGATATTTAGCAACACTACCATGCAATATAGCTGATGCATGAATTAGAACTTCCAATCAATTTTTTGAACAAACTAGTCTGCAACCATGATAAAGCACCTCTTTCTTGATCCATATGAAATACCTGATCCTCGATCTTCCCTTTAATTTTAATTTCATAATTCCATATAACTAACGCCTTGTAGCTTTCTGAGCTTCATGAACAGACTATAAAAAAGAGTAAGATTGCTCAACCCCAATCTAATGTGCGAGCTCTTTTGAAAAAGACAAGCTGACTATAATTGATTCCAGCAAAGTAATGAGTTAAAATCAGATCATAGATCATACTGATCAAAAGAAGGAGGTATCTCAAATTTGAATTGACAGATAAACCACCTCGGTAGATGTAGTAGAAGCATACCAGATTTGAGCTTTCATCGACAGCCCAATCAAGGGCTCTTTGAGCATCTTCAGTCAAAGGAGGATGCTCAGGACTGAAAAAATACATATCTGCCTTTCCAAGTAGCTTTACAGTTTCTTCACGAACTTTCGAAAGTGTAATTCCATTTGCCCGCAAAAATTTTGAAGCAAAATTTGTTCCTAAAAAACAAAAGATTTTGAAACATGGGTGAAATTTTGTGAAATAAATCACATTCATCTGCAGAAATAAAACAAGAATCAAAGATGGCCATGCATATTATTTATAATCATGGGTAGTTCCATTGATGAAAGAACTGTAATTTTATCATGCATCACAGGAAAGAGTTCTGGATTAGTGATTTAGAAAAGTTTTAGAAGCTCTATTGAACGCATTTTTCTCTCAACTGATTCTTTGTACAGAAGACATATTGGAATGGAGGATGATTAGCTCCCTCTAACTCGACCATTTACACGATTCTATCTCAATTAGCTGAAGACAAAGTGTAGGCAAGTGATATGATGAGTTACATATGAGACATCAAAAAGGTTCAAGCCCAACTAGAAGTTACACATGTCATCAAATAATACAGATACACAGAGGCTCCTAAAATGCTAAACCAAAAAAGAGTACTAATATAGTCATACCTTGGCTGCTGTATAGTTCTTTTCTGCCCTTGCCAAGGCCCAGCTGTTTTTTTCAATTTCATGTAGACCAAAACTGGAAATATAAGAGGAGCAGTTCCAAAACTATACTGCTTTTTCTTGACTAAGGAAAACCACCAGCTAAATATATCGATGATCTAGAGGGGAATTGAAAGAACCCAATTTACTTAACATCCTCTTTACTTAGTAAACAAAGAGAATAGTCCTTGTGCATTTATGCTTCCCATTCCCATCCCTTTTAACTTGAATCACTCCAATAATACTACTAATTAACTTCTTTAAGCATGGCAGACAAAACCGAACCATAAATTAATGAAACAGAGAGCCTTAAAGACATGATTTCTTTCAATGCTTAGACATCATTACAAGTGACTAAGTGAGAAAAAGTGGAGATAGAAGCAGGGACTCAACTTTGCAAGAGAACGTAGCATTACTAACTCTGAAGCTAAATTGAGCTAAGAAAATAGGATCAAGTTGATTGAGTTCTGTTTGAAAGATAGTTTGGTCACAACTGCTTATCCATCAGTCTTTGTCGAACATAGCCTGTTCAGTTTCATTTCCTTGGTTCTCCAAATTTATGGCAGTATGCTGAATGGAAATGAAACCAAATAAAGACTTAATGTCAAAGGTTTTGGTTTTACAATTGCATGACAGAATTTGACATCAAGCTGCAAATTTATGTATGAGGGAATACTCAGCTCTAGTTGAGATAAGTGTATAACACTGATAAGAGCCCTGGTTGACAAAAAGCAGCAACATTAAACGGGCAAAACTGTGATTACCATGGCGTATTGGCAACATCAGCCCAGATCTTGAAAATTTTTTCTTTTATTTGTCTACTACTGCCCTTAACTTCTCACTTATTTACATCTGATTTAGCAAAGGTATGCCCTTGGAAGCTATTATGCAGGCACTTACAAACAACTTGGTACTACCAATGTCACAAGGTAGACGGATCATGGCTTCCATATACTGTTCCCCTATGGCTCAGTTCATTTTATATTGAAAAGGTCCCTAATCCTGCAATACGTGAAAGATACCACAAGGGTTCTACCGTTCTACACGTTGTTGATCAGAAATTCGTTATATCTACTACCTCGTAAAAACAAACAGTAACTAGATTATGCGTTCATTGACTCGATTGGATACTTAACTGTATCGTTGTCCAATCGAAAACTACTTTTCTTCTACTGAGGTTTGTTAAACTAACTAATCACTCAAAACATAAGTTCATCCTCAAGCAAACAGACTAATTTGTTGCATAATGGAGTAAGCACATGTTACATGAATATGAAGACGATAAATCAATAACCAAAACCATACCGTCCAGCACTAAACAAATAACATTATTAAGGGAAAAAAATTGACCAACCCTCAATTAAGATTCCCATAAGAAGAGCTGCAGTCCCAGTAGTTGGATACTTGAGCTTCCTAGCTTCCAATTCAGACATTACAAATGACTTTATTGCCTTCGCTGACCATCTACAATTTCAACAAAACCCATAATGCAAAATCCCAATACAGCAATCAAACAATCACAGTTAAGCAACAAACAAGCTCAAAAAATACCCACTTGGGAACTTTCTCAGCTGAAGCAACCCTCTCAGGATTCCTGCGACATCAATAAAAATCCCAACTTTATTCTATTTTCCTGCAAAAATAATATAATCAAACTTAAAAAGAGAACAAGAAAAATTGAAACTTTACGAAGTGGGCAGGCTAAAAATGACAGTGGCTTTAATGGGTCGATGTCTTTGGATAAAGGGTCTGAGATTAGAGGAATGGACCGATATTCTGCTTGTGCAGCCCAGCCATGGACCCTGTAGTGTGTGACTCTGTGATTTTAACATGTTTTGGGCTGTAAAAAAGTGGTTGGTGTGCTTCCAATTCTGTGGGGAAATTCCAGGTGGAGTAGTTGCTGGCGTTGAGAGAGTATGAGCAGCCATTTTCATGCCCAGAAAGTTTGTACTGGGTTAAGGGAAAATGAGTTGAAAATTATTTTCTGGATTGGATAGGAAGACTGAAAGAGGCTGCAGAAATTGTTCTTAACCTTTCTCTTTATTTTTTTTATTAATTAATATACTTGCAATTTTTGACAAATGGCTACGACAGCGTTTAAGATAAGTGACATTGAAAAGTTTGAGACTCGTGCGTTGCCCACAATGTGCTCGATTTCTCTTGTTTATTTCTTACAATGATAAAAATAGCTTAGGTATCTAGTTGCTTAATTCAACATATAGTAACATATCTATATTTTTTTATACATAAATAAGCAGAAATACAGAAGAAAAATTAAACATTGAATAATTAAAATTTGTTATGAAAAGAAATTTTCATGTATCAAATTAGTCAACCCATTCATCCTCCTTCCCCCTCCCCGAATTTTATAAGAAATGAAGGCCCTGTTTTGTAAGTAAATTTTTTTGGTATTTGTCTAAAATTTTACTGTAACTTATTGTAGAAGTTTTTTAAAAAAATTTTGAAGTGTGTAAATTTTAAAAGTGTATAGTTTAAAATTTTTGAAAAATTTTTTGAGATTATTGTAGATAAAAATTTTCAAAAAACTTATAGCAGATAAACTTGACAAAAAACTCAAGTACCAAACAGGGCTGAAGTTAGCCCCCGTGGAGAACAGGCCATTCTCCACTCATTGGAAACCCGGAAATTTGTCTGAAATCGTAGGCTAGAGGCGAGGAAAGGAAGTTCCCATGCCATCAGTCTAGCTCACCCCATCTTCTTCTTAAACAAGCACTCGTTCCTCAATCTTCTTATTATGATTTGGATAAAGAATTTTGAATCAGCATTATGTGATATGATGGTACAAAAAAAAAAAGAGAGAAAGTAAATACACTAGGTATGTATTACCAATTTGGTAGCAACATAACTTTAGTTGTAATTAAATCAAAAGTAGTCAAAATGAGTTTGAAGCTTCTCCTAAGCAAAAGTGAAGAACTAGATTATGATTATAGGAAATGAGTGAAAAGGAATGTATCAAATACATCACTAATCTTTAGGTTCATGAAGGAAGGCAATGAAAAAAGTGCACGATTGAGTACAATTGGAAAGGAAGAAAGCTAATTTTTCAGTGCAACTTGACAAACAATTTATAAGGGAACAAGAAAAGAGACTTCAATCGACCATATAAAATGAGCCGTTTAAATGTAAGAGTTAGGTTAGCTACTAATCAAACATAATTAATCAATATGTAAGAATTAAAAGTTTTTCATTAATTTGTAAAACTCGATTCTATGATTATAAATTAGACAACACATAAAAGCAACAGAAGTCCATACAGTTAAAAAAAATAACTTGCAGTGGAAATCTTCTATTTTAACCCATATACGCATATAGTAGATCTTCTATCTTGGTCAATCAAGGTAGAATTGGGGAAATTAAAAAAATGAGAAAAAATTACAACTTTCTCAAAGGAAAGATATGCCGCGTGCCAAAAAAATAAGGATGCTACATTAAATTACCATGTCTACTTCTATAATATGTAGAAGTTCATGAATAGGAAAAATTCAATAGAGTGGTTCTAAAAAAAATTTTCCTTTAAAAAAGAATCTTAATTTTGTTGCACATATGAAAGATAAAAAATTTAGTCTCTTATATTAGAGTAAATCTTATATATACTGTCAGTATATGCACTATCATAGTTGGATGGATGACACATGAGCAAAATTTTAATTTCAAATTCAAATTTTACACATGTATTATATATCTAGCGGTGATTGTGTATACACAGACAGTGTATATAAGATTAATCATATATACTATCATGTGAGTTATGGTTTAATATCATGTCATTTTTTTCCCGTTATCTGTGAATTATTTTAACTTTATTGCAAGTTTATCACATTTATCACCTGTTTTAACTCTTTCGTTACTACTACGAAGAAGAACATATAACCCATTTCCAAAATCTATTTTACTACTGTAAAAGAAAGAAAACACATATCCCCAAAACTCAACTTAGTTGGTAAGGATTAATTAGTTTAGTTTGTTAATTTGTAGTTGAAATTCGCAATTTTTTATGAGAAATCAGGATGAATTTTCTAATTTTGTGTCTCTAAACAAACTCCTGCGACTAGAAAGTTTATTTGAAGCTTCATATGTCAAAGGACCAAGGTGGCAAATCTGTGAAACTTCAAGAAGTAAATTATCTCATTTTAAACCTACGATCAAAACAAAATTTCTGAATGTTCTTTTGGGGCTAGTGAAACATACCTGGGCTAATTTTTTGTGCGATAAAAATGCTGCACTGAAGAAACAGCACAATACCGGGCTAGTGAAACAGAGATGGACTCTTAGACCAACAGTGTTCGAATTAGGATCTTTGGAGTTTTTGTTTTTACAAAGCCCGATAGATCATTGAGTGATTTGACACAGAGTTCTACGTGTCATAATGCAGCGGCCTTTGCTTAGGGCTATCCTATAATAAGTCAAAAAAGGAACCACACAATTGGGCCTATTTTCCATGTGACAGCCCGAGCCTTTTTACCAATTTACTGGGCAAATTAGTTTCGATCTACCATGACAACGATAATTTTCATCCTTTTTTATTATGACCTCCTAGGAATTGAACAAGATGGCTTTATAAGGTTAGAAATTTCAATTACTTTTACCAATTGCAGAACTACCAACGTAATAGTTTACGAGTCCAGTGGTCACTACCGGGGAGCTTTTTCATCTAAGTTTGACAAATTCTTTGAAATCAAAACAGAAAACGAAAAAAGAAAAAATGATCATGCAACTTCTAGTCCTCAACATGTTTCTGTAAAAATCAGTTTCTTCAAAATTATTTTACTTCATGTTCATTGAAAACACACCTAATTTAATGAAACTAACATCACGTAGAAAGCACGGATAAAGATAGTGCTATGTATAATCTTAACAAGCACTACTACATTTGCAAAATGCAGAACGTAAGCTTCAGTCACCTTCTGAGCCCGTTTGGATTGCTACTTTCTGGAAATTTTGTAGAAACATATATTATAGTGATTTAATGTATGTGATGTGAAAATATGATTAGAAAATATACTTACGAAAAGCGTAAAAATTTTTGAGGAAAAAATGGCAATCCAAACAAATATGATCATGACTCGAGAAGAAAAAAAAAGGGGGATCAATTGTAGTAAAATTAAATTTTGAACCACCATTATCCACAACAATAACAACTCAAGGGATAAAGAAAGGGGTCTGGAATGGATCTGTTCAATGTAACAATAAGGTGATAGTTTTAGTCGGGGTGAAGTGACATCTGAAAATAACTATCAACTTTGGCAGTTGGCAAAGAAAACTGCACAGTTACTTAGTTCATATTCCTATTGTCACATCCCATTTTGGAGAGCCAGGCTTTGAATTCCATTTTTTTAACTAAGTTTATGAATTATAGCAGTGATCAAAGAGTCAAAATACGCAAATTCATTTCATTCACCTAATTCTGTTGCATCACCTTTGAGGCTTTAAAGGCCCTGAAATGATATATGGTGGCGCGTAGTGCTACATCAGAGACGCAAGTTCAGCTCCGGAGAGCTTTTCTTTTGATTTTTATTCTTTATTTTCTGAGATCATATCTCTCTTTTTTTTTTTGGGGGTCCTCCAATCCAGGTGGGTGCCGCTGCCAATTAATTGTAAATCAGGCCCCAATCACCGGCGTTATTATTATGCTTGCTGTGCCCTTGTACTCGGGAAATTTTGTGGGCAAATCTCACTCCTCTGTAAGATCATGTGTTAACTCAAGACTTTGCAATTGGGGTCTGAACTTAGTTGTACACCACTAAAGTTGATGAGAATTTCGTACCCCACTTAGATTTAAACATCTAATCTCATAGATTTTTCCGTACGAGTAATTACAAGGAGAAAGGTTTTCAAGATCCTCCCTCACCAAAGGGCCTTGTTGGAACTCGTTTTAGGGAGAAATAGAGGGAAAAGCTTTTTTTTTTTCCCCTTTTAAATTTTATTTTGGGTTCCTCCTTCAGAAATGCCCAAAAAATAAAATGAATTCGCATAAGAATTAGAAAGTAAAGGACTTAATAGATTTATATATCAATTGAACTCTTGACTGCTTTAGTTTACAAATACAACTGAGAAACCTCTAATTGACTAAAATTTACTTATTAGCGTGAAATCCAAGGAGATCATTTTCTTTCTCAAACTTCACTTTCTTTTCTTGATCAATGAAAAAAGCTAAACATCAAAAAAGGACCTATAGTTTTTTCCTATCTTTTTCTAGTTCACCGTCACTCCAAATGTTTACCGGGGGAGGGAGAAAGAGGATGGCTAGAGAGTCGAATTAATTAGTTAGGGATCTTTGGAACATTCGTGATTCGGCTAATGTTCCTATCAGCTAATTGAGCTAGGTCTTAGGAGTTCTTTTTTTTTTTTTGCCCCACATCACCATAGATTTTAGTAAGAGGAACGACCAGTGAAAACCGAATGTTGATGCTTCGGATCGATAGCATCAATCTAAGATGTTGTGTTTGGATTGTATTTTTCGTCATTTTTCATGGAAAAATTACTGTAGCGATTTGATATATGTGATAGAAAAATGTGATCACAGAAAACGATAATATTTTCCGACGGAAACAAGCAATCCAAACAAGGTTAACTAATTGAGCTAACTCTTGCAAAGGTTTAGCAGACAAAATGTCCTGAATCAAGAGTCATTCTGGGCACTGTCATGTGGAAGCAGACGCATGTGCATAACTGGTAACACCATACATCCCCTTCCCATCCCTTTGAAAACAATTGGATTTCAAGGACAGAGACTGTCGGTAAAGAAGTGTTTGGTGATGTACTGCAATTTCACTGCTTGATTGTTTTGCAGTCAAGCATAAATAAATTTGTTGTATTTGTTGGACATCATTTACTGCAGTTACCGTTTCCGTGTAAACAAATGAGTACGAAAGAAAGCATTTGGGGTAAGGCAAACTGGTCACGAAATAGCAGTAAAAGGAGATTGTTTGTAAATTTAAGATATAGTATTTTGTTTGAGGCAGGGGTGGGGCGATTCAATAGTCTTGACTCACTTGCCCATAGTA